ACCTACTGAGCCTACCAGGGTGGACTGGAAGACAGGGACAGCAGAACTGAGTCACAAGGAGAATGGATGAAAGAAGCATCTCCTTCACCGTGAGAGTGGGGGTTGAGGGTAAAATTGCTGCCTCTACCAATGTTTCCTAGCACAGGAGGGTTGGACCCACTCCAAATGAAACTAAAAATCAGACTTAGGACAAAGGGGTAATCAGAGGTACCAAAAGCTTCCTTCTGAATGGAGTGATGGAATGTGTGGTAAGACAGAGTGCAGACCCCATCGGTGAAGGCCGTGTGGGAAGGGAGGGGTAACTGAAGCCTTCTTTAAAGGGTAACTTAAACACGGGCAGAAGCTGGACCTGATGGCTCTTTACTCTGGACAGGCCATGGGTTTTCTTTTAGTGTATGCACATCATCAAGCCACCCCAACACATACACACACATACATACACACACACACACACACACACACACACATACACATACACACACACACACGCATACATACACACACACACACACTCACACACACATACATACACATACACACACATACATACACACATATGCATACATACACACACACACACACACACACACACACACACACACACACACACAGGTCCATACAAAGCCAGGTGAGGTATACCACTGTAGGGTGTGTGACCCTAGCTTAGGTTAACTCTGGTGGCCCCACGATTTTCCGTTGCTGACTTGGTTACGAGCAAGAAATAAACGCCTTTCCTCTCTCCTTGGGAGGAGGAGAGCAGATTGCCTGGATCTGCCTCGTTCTGCCCTGGCTCTGGTCTCGGCACCGAACGCTCCCTTCTGCGCAGTCTGTTCCCTTTGTGACAATGCAGAGGGGAGAGCAGGAGAAAGCGCCACAGCCAAGAGTACTGGGAGCGGAGCGGCAGGCGGGCGGGGCTTCGCCATTGACTGGATAGATCACATTTGCATGGGAGAAAGAGGAGATGGGGCCCCTGGCTCCCCACACAGGCAGAAAGTTTGGCTGCTCAGCGCCTATCCCCAAGCGTGTATCAGAGAAGTGCTACCAAATGTCCACAGCTCCAGGGTTTTCTCAAAGGCAGAGCCCGAGAGAGGTTTCCACAAAAGGAGCCCCTCACACCTCTGCACCCTGGAGATGAAAATAATAAGCTAGTTCTTTGCCTGAGAGATGAAATCATGTTCTGTTGCCTAAGGCTGGAGAACTGGACCCTCTTTCCTTATTAAATCCAGACGATGGTCATGACTGGAGCTTCATGCATACGCAAACATTTTGACTAGTACATTCTACATCCTGTGGTCAGTCACTGGTGATTCATGAAGCTCTATCACCTGCCAGGGATCACTGAGTTTCCACCATGCCTGGGGCCAGGTGGGAACAAAGGTAAGACAGGGCTGGAACTTGCCCCCAGGGGGTGTACAGTCCAGTGGAAAAGCAAGACAGACCATCAAAAGCAAAAATTAAAAAAGAAAATAAGATCCATGCACCCAAGCCTCTCAAAGTCCATTGTTAGCACCATAGCCATCTAGAAGGACTGTCTATGGAGGTGAGCTTGGGAGGAACTTCAAGGATGACCAGGGCTTTACAGAGCCACAAAGGGCAAGAGTGGGAAGGGTGGGTGTAAACACAAAGGTCTGGAGAAGGTGTAGCAAGGCTTTCTTTCTGAAGGAACCATGAGTTCTGTGCCATGACCAGAGCTGCCCAGCAACAAGGCAGTGTAAAGGCTGTGTTTACAGGAACTGATTTAAACCAGCAGCTATTCCATCCCCTGAGGACACTTGATTGTCACAAATACAGGCAGGTCAGCACCTTTGGTATCAACTAGACAAAAGTCAGGGGTTCCACCAAACGCCTCACAATGTTCAGGGTACTACCACAACAAAGAATGTTCCAGTCCACAATGCAATAGCTCCATGGTTGAGAAACCCAAAGACTATAGAATATTTCCCAGTATCCTCTGCCTCTGCCTCTAGAGAGGAGGGGGAGAGACACTAGGGGACATTTGGAGTATCAGGTCCCACAGTCCAAGGCTCCCCTTCCCAATTCTCAACTAGCCCTTCCTGATTTCCTGTCGGTTCACTTATGAAAAGCCTGAATCCACTGCCTGTCCCCAGCTTGCTGATAAAAATACTAAACGTAAAGCTTTGAGGGATAAAGTTCACAGCACCACGTAACTGGTGACCGTTTTCATCCCTCACTGCATATTCATTTTTTAAAGGACAATGTGTCTCGGAGTTGTTCTGGGGTCACAGTCTCAGCTCCAATCTCATGTAGGCTGGGCTCTGGGTACTCCAAAGACTCATCTGACTCACAGGGGATAGAGGGTGTGTCCCCTATCCTAGAGCCTAGAAGCAAAGACTCTTCCAGCTTTCTGGATTCGTATCTTCATAAGGGTCTGAGAGCAGGCTCCCCGACTTCCCTCTAGGACATTGAGCTAGGACATTGACATAACCTGCTGACCGCAGGGGACCTCCAGCTCCCTGAGACTGAGTTGGTCACAGAGCTTCTCGGGGACCAGCGTGGCAGGGACAGCTGCTCAGCTCATGTTCTCTCACCAGGAGGCGTTCCCAGCCCTGTGACCTGGCCCTTCTTCCAAAGTGGCAGATGGGCACAGGTGCCTGTCGTGAAGCTGTCCCCCGCCCTCCCACTGGGCATGTCTGACCCCGCCTACCCAACAGAGGACAGCACGGTCAGCTGAGTGGTGGGCTCCTTCCAAGCGGAACCCCCAAACACTGTTGATTGCTGTGGCGCTGTCCTCAGCACGGACAAACCAGGCCAGGTCATGCGCTACAGAAAAACCCTCATAATCAACCCTGGCTGTTCCAATGGTTTGTTCAAGGCTTATTTGTCTATGGTTAAAAATTTATAACATGACAGTCGTCTTTGACCTCAGAGGCTCATTGTGATCTAATTTCCTGCATTTCCAAAGTCATTCAGGAAAAAGATCACTCCCCTTACCTCTCCTCACCCGCTTCGTCTCCCAAGGCTTGTTAATTATGAACCAAAAAAAAAAAAAAAAAAAAAAAAGATCTGAAGCCACGAATCTTTGGCAAGTAATAAAATCCCATGTGGTGTTAGGCCTACCTGCACTATGTCAGTACACCCCAGAGACTTGTGTCACCCATCGAACACCCCAAGCCCGTCACAGGGTCTCAGCGTGGCTCCCAGTATACCGCCTCTCCGTAGCTCCTGTTCCTACCGGCATGGCCCAGCCAGCCTCTCCAACCGCTGCAGTTACAGCCCAATCTAGTATTGCTCCTTTTCCTTCAGGGTCCAGACACCTTGTGAATGTTGCAGCGGTGGAGATCACCCTCTCTCTGACTATAGCGTGAAGTGAAAAGCAGAAGCAGGAATAGATGGAGGCTAAGCATGATGGCGCACACCTTCACTCCCAGCACTTCGGAAGAAGAAGCAGGCAGATCTCTGAGTTCAAGGCCAGCCTGCTTTCCATAGTGAGTTCCAGGCCAGCAAGGACTACATAGTGAGACCACGTCTTTTTTTTTTTTTTAAAAAAGCAAGAAAAAGAAAGTAATTTATATTATATTATTCCTCTTGTCCCTGTGACCAACTGTCTGACAAGAAGCAACAAAAAGGTGGAAGAATTTATTTGGGCTCATGGCCTGTGGGGATTGAGTCCATGATGGCGGGGAGGGCACGGATGTAGTAGGGGACTGTGGTTTGATCGCATCTACTGGAAGCAGAGAGGGGCTGAGGACAGAGGTAGAGCTGGGTTATAACTCTTAAGGCCCACCTGCCAGTGGCTCACTTCTTCTAGCTAGGCCCCACATGCTAAAGGTTCCACAGCCTCCCAGGAAGAGCTACCAGCTAGGGACCAAGGGTTCAAACACATCCACCTAAGGGGCATCTTTTGGATCTGAACTATTACTGCTCCTTTTCTACCTGGGGACCTTGCAACAGTAAAAGATGGAAATGTTTAGACTTGTATCAGTGCCATGACTCTGGTCCCACAGAGTAAGCATCTCTTCCTTGGGGTGCAGTACAAGTGTACCCATTTCTCTGTAAACTGAAGGGTCTGCATTTCTTTTAACGTGTTTTCTGAAAACATCACAGTCCTCTTGCTTTGTGCTGACCACCACCTCAAGCTGCTCAGCATGCTTCTCACGTGCTTCCTTTGGGGGGGTGCTGGCCGGGGGTCAAGGACTGATCCAGGGTAGAGGCTCAGCACGCAACTATGAGACACTGTGGCAGTGAGGTGACCCACAGTGTCAAGTGGCTACACTGTGTGATGGGGTTTCTAAAAATACCCGCTTGGTCCTGCTCCTCGTGGCGTTCCAGCCCTGCCCTCCCATGCGCCAGGCAGACAGCAGGGGCGTGAACAACCTGCTCCCTCCTTCCTCTCCCCACTGCCCCTACGGTCCAGGTCATTGTCTATTCTCAGCACGACTATTGCCTTAGCCACCTGCCTTCTCTTTCTTCTCCACGTGGACGATCAGGTGGTTACTTGAAAACACAGGGACCGGTGAAGAGACCACAGCATAACACACTAAGCAAAGCTTATTCTTCCATTCATTCACGTACTCATTCATTCAGTTGTTCAACATACATTAAAACACCAGTGCCAAGGACCCTTGCCAGGTCGGGGCTGTAGTAACTGCTGCACAGTGGGCGACAGGGAAGTTCATCCTCTATGACTCTATTTCCACAACACTCCAGGGCAGCCCAGGGCAGTCTGCAATGACTGAGGTCAGGATACTGGTGACATCTTGAGAGACGGAGTAAGAAAGGACATGGGAGGTTCCCAGGCCCGGAAATGGATTGTCTCTTCACCTGAGTGACTATCACAGGAGGGGTTAACATAGGAAATACACTGAGCTACTAAATATTAAAAGCTGTGTGCTTAGATTCGTGCCTGTGAAATTGCAATCCTTTTTGTAGTTTTACGTGAAGTATGTTCTGTTTTTACTCTTTAGAGCAGTATACCTGCCCATGACCTAAGGACAGATGAGCAGCCCTGTTCCAGCATCTTACCAGGGCTTGTCCCTGATGGGTAGGATACTGGTGAAGACGGAACTTACTGCTTTATCCTCTTCTGGCTTTTCCAATTATTCTATACTGAATATGTCCTGCTTATATAATGAGATTAAATATACTAAATGTTATTTTTAAACATTTAAAAAGTGCGAACCCCTGAGATGAAACACTCACTGGGCAAGCACGGGGCAGGTGGCCGTCCTCCCAGGGCAAAGCCTCATCACCAGCTTTTGTCCTCTTCCACCGCAAGGACACCAACCAGCTCAAGAGCACCGTCCAGGTCTGTGGGATTTCGGGGCAGCTAAATAAAGCTCTTGGCTCTGTGGGGGCTGAGGTAAGTGGAGCTGCTGGGGGAGCCCTCAGGGCTTTCCTGTCCTTGCCGAGGGGGCATGCCAAGCCCCTCCTCACAGCCACGGGATCATACCTGACTCGGGTTCCAGCCATGCTAACCTGGGTCTGTTCAGGATCCCCAGCCTCAGCCAGCCTGGACCTCTGGTTCAAAGACGTGGCGCTCTTTGAATCCTCCCCCACAGCCCGTGGGCAAGAAGGAATAGCTGGTGTGTGGATTTGAAGCCACAGAGAGGTGAAGGGACCCTGTGGTTGGGAGTTTAAAACTGAAAAATGAAAATGAAACCTTGAAAGCCTGAAGGAAGGGAGAAAATGGAGGAGGGAGGGTGGCTCAGGTCCTTGGTTTTTTCTCTGGGAAACGGGGCTATTATGAGATTAGCAAACCGGGAGCGGCTGAAGCAGCGTTTTGTTGTACAGAGATGTTGGGAGAGGTAGACAATGATCCCTAGCCCCCTGCTCAGCTATCAGTAGACCCTCTCTTAGCCACCAGAGTCTGACCTTGACAGGATGGGGGTAAGCTTGTCTGTGTGCCCGAAGCCCAATTTCTGCATTGGCAAAGCCAACACGGTCCTGTGAGAAGCAACTTGTGATTCACAACTGTGTTTTATATTTCCAGCCTAGATCCTAAAAACACTTCCCTCTTCCCTCCCACCTCCCTCTCCAGCCCCCCAAACACAAGACTCCCACAGAGAAGTCAAGTCATGTGACAGCTTTTCGCACTGAGCCAAGGCAGGAGCCAGTGGCCAGTTCTGCCCTGTGACACACACACTCAGCCTCCAGCAGTCACATGGATTCCAGCTGCCACCACTTGCCCTCTGTGCCTGACCTGGTACTCTTTCCCTGGCAGGCCTCCTGAGCTGACTTGTCCCTCCAAACTATGGCTTGGCAGACAATTAGACTGACAGACTGAGTGCCAACAGGCTTCGACAGCTCCGTCTCAGCTGACCTCGAGGTGGGAACCCTTCCAGGAGTGTCCTGGACACCATGGAGTGTGCCCCACAGGGAATTAGGTGCCTTACTGGCCTGAAGTAGAATCAAACAGAGCTGTTGGCAGTGGGTTCACCACAGCCAACCACAGCCAGCACCCCCAGGAGCAGAGAGCTTGAGTCCTGGGTGTTGAGTGAGGCTATGGAGGCAGCCAAGGGCATCATCCAGCATAGCTCATGGGGAGGCTGGAAGTCAGGCATTGCTGGGCTTTGGAGAGCAGGACAAAGGCAAATACAGAAAGTGCCATCGATGTGAACGCTCCTCAAATAAAATTCAACCCCAAACAAAACAAAACAAAGCACCCAACTCCGACACAATAGTAATCAACTGGGAACCATTTTCCATAAGGGGACGTTTGGCAATGTATGGAGACACCTTGTATTGTCAAAACTGTGGATGTACCGCTGTCACTAGTGGAGAGAGGCCAAGGATGCAATCATGGAGTGTCCTAGGTTTGTCTGGCCCCAGTATGGACAGTGCTGTGGTAGTCAAGTTCTGGTCTGAACGTATTCCTGAAGAATATTTGAACAGGGGCCTACAAATCACCTCAGAGGAATAACTCATGGCTGTCTTTACAGACTTGGAACTCTTCAGAGCCTGACTAGTGCCCTCAAATTCAAGGCCAAAGCTTCAGCACATGCACGATTTAGCTTCCATGATCTCGGCCTGACTTCTCCTCAGCCTTACCTCTTGTTAGGTTTTGTCCACACCAAACTATTCACATGTTCGATGTGCTCTATGACTCTTGCTTGTAAGAAAGGGGTTCTGCTTCTGGCCTCGAATTCTCTCCTCTCCCTTCTGTCTGGCAAATACCCTGGCTGTTGGGTCAGCTGTGACATTTCCTCTCCCCTTGTCTCCGTCCCACATCTTCCACAAAGCTACTCCGCCATAACATCAAACAGGGTGCTGGGATGGTTGTGTGTCAGTCTCTGCCACCAAACTGGGCTCCCCAAGAATATTGGTCTCTCTCCCCAGTGCCAAAAGAGACCGTAAACAAAGGGAGCTGCCCACTGGTCACTGATGTTTCCCTCACCATGTAGTGAAGGGGCACACCTGGCCCTCGATGACAGAAGATAACTTGAGGAACTGAAGAAAATGTAAAGGAAGAATGGCGTCAACTGGTCACCCAAAGAAGGCAAGACAGCGAGGGGGACCGCCCAGTAGATTAAGCACTTGCTCTGATATGTGAGGACCAGGGGCCAGATCCCCAGAATCCTTTTTTTTTTGTTGTTGTTGTTGGTTTTCTTTTGTTTTTGTTTTTTTTTTTAAGTAGGCCAGAGCAGAGACAAGAGATCCTCATGGAAATCTGGCTAACTAAACTAGCCAGAATCAGCAAACCCCAGGATCAGCAAGAAGCCCTGTCTCAGTCATTAACAGTGGCTGAGAACCTTGGCATCATTTGGGATCAAAATCACAAAGAACAGAACAGGTAGTATGACTAAAACAGGCACTTCGAATAGTTTCCTTGACACATATCCATTAAAGTTTTTACTTTATAATTTTATGACTTCAATTCTGATTGTTTAGGAGGCATAATTATTTTTTCTTGTGAAGAAATATGCTGTTTTGTCAATGTGTATCATCTCTTAAGACACTAATGGAAAAGAAAGAGTTAAATCTCCAACGAAATAACTAATAGTGAAAGAGACACTCAGCATGAGCATCAACTTCCAGCCCACATGTACACATACACACGTTCACTCATGAGACACACACACACACACACACACACACACACACACACACACACAGAAGGAAATGGGGACAGGAAAGAGCATTGAAGGACCAAAGAAGACTCAGAGAGTCATTTTGTGTGGGAAATCAAAAGGGAGGTAGACAGTCAATTCCAGAAGAGGCTCTGTAGGCTCCTGATACACCTTAGGCTAGACATGTGGCATCTAAGAGTGGGGTTTCTGCACATGCTTGGCAGTGCTTGGCATGAAGATCCAAAGATTTGGTAATTTACACAAGTACATGAAGACTCACTTTTTCTCAAATCACCCACATAGAGAAGGCAAAGTGGTAAGATGTCTTTCTATTTTACGTATGAAGATGCCTGGGCTCAAGGAGGTGAAGGAATTGTCTCCCAGTTCCCAAGTACTGTCCCTTCTTCCCTTGCCCTTTGGGGTACACCATTCTGTGCCAGCCAGGGCAATACCAAGCTGCTTGTTTTTACATTGTTGGTTTTATTTCAATGAGCATCCCCAGGAGACAGTAAATGAAGAACAATTCTCCAATGCATCCCCTGTATCCTCGTTTTGAAGGAGCTTTGTTGGGATGTGGTTAACCCATAATGAAACACACATTGAAAGTGTATACCTGAGTTAGAGTTGGCTTATGTGTGATCCCTATAACATCCCCAAATTAAAATGATGTCTTCTCCTCTTCTATTGTCCATTGTCTCTGCCTCTTCCATGATCTTCACAGGCAGCCACTGACCTGCTTTCCACTGCTGTAGGCTAATTTTCAATTTCTTGTCATTTACATAAATGCAAGCATACACTGGCCACCATTTTATCTGTCTTCTCTCACCCAATATAATTACTCTGAGGTTCAGGTATCTTATTGCATGTCTCAAGAGCCCACTCCTTTTTATTGACTACTAGCATTCCAGTGAACCTTTACATGACAATTTGTTTATTCATTCACTTGCTGGTGGATAATGCCAGCTTGGGATAATTACAAATAAATCTTTCATGGCCATTTGCAAAACAGTCTCTCTGTGTGGACATATGTCTTTATTTTTGTAGAGGAAATGCCTGTGTCATGTGATCAGTGTATACTTAACTTTTTAAGAGACTGTCACATTGTTTTCCAAAATAATAGTGCCATTGTACAGTTCCACCAGCAGATTACTGGAGTTCTGACCACCCCCCCCCACACACACACACACATCCTCACCAACCAGAGGTATGATCAACCTTTTTTCAGGTTAGCTGTTTTAGTGGGTAGTGGCGCCATGCTCTGACTTAATTTCTACTGAGGATGTTGAACATCTTTTCAACCTGCCATCCAAGCATCCTTTCTGATGAAATGTCTACTTAAAAACAGACATCAAGAGTGGTAAAAAATCAGTGATCTGGGCAGGGAAAAACAGAGACGTGAGACAGTAAGCATGCCAAGCACCACTCTGCCCAAAAGGTGCCAAAGAGACATGGTTGGTCTCGTGATAGTGTTTGCTCAGCACCTAGAAAGTTCTTCAAACATTTGCCAAGAGTGAACACGCTGCTTGCAAGCCCAGGAAGAAGCAGCAGTAGATATTTCTCTGACAGCTTCCCTCTTTAGAGCCGGGTTCACTTCCCAGAACCACCTCCTGCTCACTTCCGGACTGAGCCTCCAGTTCCACAGGAGTCACTCAGGTCACCACACCCCACACCTGCATTTCTTGCATTTTACCGGAGCCCAGAAGACAATGGGCAGCTTAACACAGGGAGCAAGACAAGGGGAATAAGACGGATGCATGAGATGGAAGTCTTGTCAAAGGCTAGTGTCTTAGATTCTTATCCTGCCGCTGTGACAAAGCACTATGGCAAACCCAACTTAAGGAAGCACGAGTTTGTTCCAGCTCCCAGTGCAGGGCGCACGCAGTCTCCTCATGGCAGAGATGCCAAGGCAGCAGGAGCTTAAGACAGCTGGTCAAGTGACCTTTCCCCTGCAGCCGGAAGAGGGCATAGATACATCCATGCTAACACTCAGCTTCTCTTTTTTATTCAGTTCAGGGTCCAGCTCATGAAATATAGTGCTGCCCATATTCAGGGCAGGTCTTCCTTCCTCAGTTAACCCAATTAAGAAAATTCTTCACAAGCAGGCTCAGAGACCCATCTCCCTGGCAATTTTAGATTCTGTCAAGTTAACAATAACACCAACATGGCTGACAATGGCCGTGGGCAGACACCCGAGTCAAGGATGTGCAGTATGAGGTTTGAGGGGAAGACATCCCAGACAACACTAGTATGTAGAGTAAAAGGCAGGAAGCTGATCCTGTGCAGAGAGGAACAGGTTTTTGTGGTGGACATCAGGGGCTCAGTCCTACTGAAGACCTCTGGGAGACAACAGGAAATGCAACTTAGGGTTTTCCCACTGTCCCCCAAGGAAAGGAAGAAGGACCCAGTTGCTAGCAGAAAGGAACCTTTGACTTATCTTGGAGGGGCCAGTGCCACATCTGCCACATGATAAGGGTGGAGACGTCAGTCAGCAAACTTTTCCTTGAAGGGCCAGAGGGTAGCCACTTCAGGCCGGCAGCCCAGTTGGTTTCTATTGTAACTGGCCAACCCTGAGGTTGTCACTCAGTTACATGCATCGACAAATGGGCATGGCTGGGCCCCACCACAGTTTCACTTTCAAAACCAGGCAGCCTGGCTGCAGGTCATAGTCTTCAGATCTGTGGGCTACAGGTACAATACATCCCATTTAGTAGATGGAGAAACTGAGACCAAGTAGAGAAAGGGACCTGGTTGTATAAGCAGCCTGAGGCACAGCTGACTTTCTGACCAATATTTCCACTCTCCTCAGTGATGTCGATCTTGCAAGTTCTGTGTGTGCGTTGAGGGAACTGGCAGCCAGAACCCTTCAGGGAGCTACCCACGTAACCTCGAATTCTTCAACGCATCAGTTTGTTTCTTCTTGGTGGCTAGAGAGGCCCCAGGGACTGAAGCCTTCCAGTCTCCAGGAATGCCACAGAGTAACTTCCTGTCCCACGTCACTGAGCGAGGCTGCTTTGGAAGCCTCCCCCGGGCCAGGCCCTCTGCCACCAGCCTCGGCCGCCTTGGCAGAGCATCTCCCAGGCCCGGCCACAAAGCACAGAGTGAAAAAGCAGTGAGAGCTTTGGATCCTGTAAAAACTCTAAAAATATCCAGGAATGTGTGCACATATGTGGCCCTTCTGTGATCAAAACATCTGGAGAGAAGATCAAATCCTGTTTTAATCAGCCTAAACTTATGCAAAAATTTTGGAAAGGAGCGGAAGTTCAAAGTTATTGACTTTACTTGAGGGGAGAGAAAGGACATCACAAAAATTTGTTGTTGTTGTTGTTGTTGTCGTTGTTGTTGTTTTTAAGACAAAACGAAGAGAATCCTTCCCTGGAGTGAGTTCTGCTTCCTTGGGATCCGGGGGATTATTTCTCCTAAGGGAGAACAAGGGTAGAAAGTTCACTGGCCGCAAGCTTGAACTCCTGATTTGATGTTTTTATTTTTGAAGAAAAGGACAGTTAAAATGTTAAGTCCTTTAGTAAAAACATTAGGAATAGACACCAAGTGACCAGGTGACACTGGCAAACATGAGATTTGAAGAAAGGTTGTTGTAACCAGGCATTTACTAGATAGAGAAGCTGAGACTCGGGAAGAGCTTGCCTGGTGGTACAGGGAGCGGGGGGAGGTCAGACTGACACAGGTCTGAACTCCCAGCCTACTGATGCCCTGTAAGAGGAAATGGAGTGGAATTTCCATCCGGATTCTGCTTGGCTCAGACAGAGGACCACCTCTGCTGAAGATTAGCCTAGGGAAGCCAGGCTCAGAACTTCTGAATCCTGGCAGCTGCTTGCTATGAAGAACGAACAAAGGCAGGTGGACATGTACTGTCCCCAGAACGAATTATGGCCCAGACTGGAGTAGAGTGTCTTGGCTATTTGAGCGAATCAATGGACGAACCTGGGGTCCTATTGGGACCCAGGCTTTCCTCCTTGGCTAGCAGCAGGTAACAAACTTTTTCCTGAAGCAAGGTCCTATGGGGCAAGGAAACAGGCCACTACCTAAAGCTTAGGCTGCAGAGCTAAACCACCCATTCTCTCTATTTGTGATCTGGGCCACTCCTGGTTCCCACTGGCCCCTGAAGAGTGAGCAGAAGCTTTTCAGCTCACTGTTGTAGCAGACAGGAAGGCCAGGCAAGGATCCCAAAAGAGAAGACACAGAAGGGCGAGGGTCTTAGCTTAGCTTGTCACTTGGACACCAGAATTTCCCAGCCTTCCCTTTACGGTCGTCTGTAATCCAGGCATGATCTTGACTTGTCTGAACAACAGGTGTCACCAAGTATGCTCTCTAGATCAGTGGTTCTCAACCTTCCTAATGCTGTGGCCCTTTAATACAGCCCCTCACATTATGGTGACCCCCAACCACAAAATTATTCTCCTTGCTACTTCATAACTGTAATTCTCCCACTGTTATGAGTCGCAATATAAATATCTGTTTTCCGATGGTCTTAGGTGACCCCTGTGAAACAGTCGCTCGATCACCAAAGGGGTCATGACCCACACGTTGAGAACCACTGGTTCTAGAGGCTTCTGTTTCTCTCCAGGTATTCCAAAGGCTCATGGCAAGGACCACCAGGGGCATAACTATCAGCCATAAGAGAGAAGGTCATGCATTCTCAGAACAGCTCCAGCAGAATCTTGGCAATTGCGCCCCTCTGGCCCTTTCCACCACTGTCACTTGGTTCCATATGTGTGCCCACTGTGATGAGAGGTCCACATATCCAAGGTCTTTATGAGTACTCTTTTGTGCAGCCACCCACTCTCTATTCCCAGCTAAAAAGTCATGTTCTTTCCTACCAATCACGTGGCTAACAAGGCCAAGACTCCATACAGGACATCCAAGAACAATAAGTCAGGGCTGCAGTCAGGCACCTGAGACTTGCCACCACCCACTCCATCAAGCTGTCGCTCAGCAGCCCCTCCCACTTTAATCAGTTCACAGAGATATTAAACAAACATGCTCTCTTTGCCACAGAGGAAAAATTCAAATGATGTAGAGACCTCCCTCGCCTTTTCTTTCTTCCCGCGCTGATTGATTTCAGTCCTAAGCATGTGAGGATCTTGAAGTGGAAATGGATCTCTTGTTCTTGAGCTGCAGACAGACTGGGGAAGCTTTCTCTACAGCACTGTCACAGCTCCCCAGGTGGACACGCCCAGTGTCCCAATGCCAGCATGCTCTGCATGTGTCCTGTTCTTCCAGAATCAAGAGTCAACCTGAAAAATGACTGTAACTAAAGTTTTCTTGCCTGGCCCACAGTCAGGACAAATCTCTCTCACCTGTCAGTCCCACAGCTGCTCAGACCCGACCAAGTAAACACAGAGACTTATATTGCTTACAAATTGTATGGCCTTGGCAGGCTTCTTGCTAACTGTTCTCACAGCTTAAATTAATCCATTTCCATTAATCTATACCTTGCCACGTGGCTCATGGCTTACCGGCATCTTCACATGCTGTTTGTCATCGTGGCGGCTGGCAGTGTCTCTCTGACTCAGCCTTCCACTTCCCAGCTTTATTCTCCTCCTTGTCCCGCCTACACTTCCTGCCTAGCCAATGGCCAATCAGTGTTTTATTTATTGACCAATCAGAGCAACACATTTGCCATACAGAACATCCCACAGCAAATGACCAGTTCGGGACTCATCTGC